ACTAAAGACCCGCCAATTAACCAGAGGTGGTCGAGAAAGTTCCTCGGGATTTTTCAGCCTGGTGCAGGACGGAGAGTCTGACATGGAACAGTGTTTAATCGCAGTGTTGATCGAGAAACTTCCCTGGGTTTTCGCAGCGCGATTTCCCCTTTTCAGTGGTACAAGGAACAGAGTCTAGTGAGGAAGGGATGAATCCAGTGGGACACGATATATATCTTCATGGCGTGCATGTAAAAGTATTTTTGGTAGTTATAATTCGACAATAGTAGGCGGAAATGCTGAAGTTCGTTCTAAATATGTCTCATGGCGTATACTTTGTTGGTGCAGAAAAGTTTGTCAAATTGTTTTATTGCTCAACGTGAACTGAATTGCCTAAATTATCTACCAATGGCTGAGGCCTGGGGGTAGTGAAACACGTGTACACTGTAGTACGGGTTCGTAACTTTTGGTTTCGCTCTTGTCAGTTGTGCAGGACCGGGGGCCTGGCAAGGACAAATAGGCGTCTGGTTGTTATGTTGTTCATTATTCATGCAGCTACATAAAAACTATATGTATATGAGAGAAATAATGGGATTTAACGTCCACTCAACACAAACTAGGTCATTTAGGGACTAACATAGGATTCTGTTTTATTTCACTAATTCGGTTGCGCGTAGGGGCTTTTAGCAATGGGAAGAAACCGAAAGACCAAGAGAAAACCCACGAGGTTGGACAGGCGACCATACTCCTTGTCACGTAGAACCGGGGAATCGAAACCACACCAGTTGACTCAGTGATAGACCTTATTATGCAGCGCGCCCGCGCTAATCATTCGGCCATTCACCCCCCCCCCCCGCCTTATATATGATGAAGCTTATATCTATTGTGTATTAGTTTATATAGGAAATAAAAACGAAATTGGGTTTAACGTCCTACTTCTCTGCTAATGATGACGGGTATACGTCACGGGGGAAATTTTACTCTTATTTCCAATTCCAACTGCCAAGTGATTTTTTACGTGCACGCAAGGTGTTCATGGGACCTCCATTTTTCGTTCCATCCCAACAACGATACCTTGTCCCTGGTCAGCCCTCTGTCCTGCACCACTGACAAGGGGGAACCACGCCGGACAATCTCGCTGAATTTTCTTGGCCAATACCGGGAGCGAACACGGGACGTCCTGGTAAGAGAACCAACGTCTTACTCATTGAACCACCGTGGTTCCTATATATGATATAGATTACAGTAATTAATATTACTTTATACAGGAATTTAACACTCGCACTCGAATATATATCAGTATACATGTATATAACATGCTTATATTACATGCTTAAATATATTAATATATAAATACATTTTAGGCTATATCTCTATATGCGACAGGACAGATGTCTAGTCGTTCAGATGGGACGAAAAACCGAGGTCCCGTTTATACATTGGCGTGCACAAAAGATACCTTGGCAGTTGGAATTCGATATAAGAGTGGGCCGTAGTGCCACTGTCCGGGCAAAATTCCCCACATAACAAACTGTATGGCGTAGGCCCCCGTCTTCATTAACCCAGTCGGATCAGAACAGTAGGACGTTAAACCCCATTTCATTTCATTTTATATGCGACAGTGACAACCTAGCAGCGTAGCTAGGTCGAGCAGGCGGTGGGCCGCCTAAGTCTGAACTTTATTTTGTCGGGACCGTAGAATGATGCAAAACGTCTTACACATGTTTTACAGATCAAATAGAAGTAAAGCAATAACATCAATAGAAGCTTACATAAGTAAAATAAAAACACTCTCAATAATAGCTTATATAAGTAAACATGCATTATGCAAGAGCTAAATCTGCCTATTGCAGGTCTTTCTTTAGTCCTGAAATGTTTTCTAAATTATTAATTAGACATTAATTAACTTATTTAGGCCATAATCAACTCTCGATGGCATCGGATTTCTCCGATATTAAATAGATTAGAACAGTTCAGCCATATTTTGATTGCGCTTAGCCACAAATGGATAAGCGAGACTTAGCTTCGAACATCAGTACGGTGGTTGAAATTATAGCACACGTCTTGTCAAACCTTCAACGGCTACCTTCGCTCGCAATAGAGTAATTTGAATGACATTTTCAAATTATTCATTTTACATTATCTATTTTCGAACTGTTATAGCAAGAATTTGCTAGCTCTTTATCTAAATCTTACATAATGTATCTTTCAGTAAAACAAAAGCACATCGGTAACATATTGCCCAAAATATTCATTTGTTCACAGCCGCCTAAAAGTCAAGATATACTTTGAAAAGCAAATGGTGAAATTGTTGATAACTCCCTGAGTGGGTTTTTATATACCTGGGGAGGTCGGTTGAATTTCTTTCATGTGTTAAATCTATAGTAACAGTAGCTCTTTGATGTTTAATGCAATCGGTGAACTTTAAGTCTAGCTGTATTATAGTTCGGGTCTTAAAGGTTGTTTAAGACTCGTAAAGTTGGAAATGAAATGAGAAATGAAATGGGGTTTAATGTCCTACTGTTGCCCCTAAACTGGGCTAATGAAGACGGGCATACGCCACACAGTGTGCTATGAGGGAAATTTTGCCAAGGCAGCGGCGCTACGGCCTACTCTTATATCGAATTCCAACTTCCAAGGGATCTTTTACGTGCACGCCAATATGTACAATATGTTTCTCGTCCCATCCGAACGACTAGACAGCTGGAGTTTTTCAGTAAGGTGTAAAGTTGGAGTTTTTCAGTAAGGTGTATGTGTTGTCCCAAATTTACAAAGACAGCACAATAGACAATTTGAATTATTAAAACATATAAAATATAATAAGAAAGAAGGCCACTCTGTCTTCTGTATGTGACTATCGATATTATATCTATATGGTGTTTATTATGTAGACCTGTAAAAATCAATTAGAGGCTATTTAAAACAGGGAATCGAAACCCCGCCAGTTGACGTAATGATAGACCCGATGGGGAGTAGCCCCTGTCCGGGCAAAATGTTTCTCATAGCACACTGCAGGGCACATGCCCAAGTTCATTAGCCCTTTTGTTACAGAAAAGTAGGGCGTTAAACCCCATTTCATTTCATCTCGGTTTAAAGACGCGCATTCAACTGTGATTTGTCGACTCCAAATCAACCTACCAATGAGATTCCGATAAATCGATTTTGCTTTCGACACCGATCTATTAGAGACCAAAACAGGACGCAACACGCTACTTCATTTCATTGTCATGTATTATTTTTTAAGTCTGATTTAGGAATATGGCGTCCCGGATGTGAATTTTACCTTTTCAGCAGCAGCTGTATTCAATTATGTTAACAAAGATTCTCCTTTTGTTTACGGTCGGAAGTCTAAACATCTCAAACAATATTTTCTTAATTACAGAAATGTCTCCACGGCAAAATAAAAAAAAATTAAATCAAATAAAAGCCAAGAAGCATGTTTTATTAATGTACTGAGATGTTTTCTGAATAGCCTCGAAACCAAATTAACTTTCCAAATTCGGTGCGTTTCCGGTTTCTGATCTAATCGGAATTCGCTAAAAGAGATAATGCGAGACTATTTCCGTTTGGAATGCCTGAAAGAGAAATGATATTTTGTTAAATTGCCCGTGTCTATAGAATCAAACGGATGAAGAAAGGTTGGCAGAAAGAGAAATGCTATTTTGTCGCACGTGCAATTGTGTCGTAGTTTAAAGGCAGAGTCACAGATTTCACCAGGCAGAAGCCACAAGACTCGAAACGAAACATGTGTCTTAAAAGTAAAAAATATGTATTATTTTAATGAAATGATTTATGATATAAAGTCATAAATCATAAGGCAGGTAGACAAACGCGCGCGATTTAATTCAGAAGGTCCGGCATTGAGTCAAATGTTGTGATTTTGATTCCACGTGGCAAGGAGTAGCATCACCTGCCTAACCTCGTGGGTTTCTTCCCGGCGTCCTGGTTTCCTCATACTGCTAAAGACCCCTACGCACCCTCGAAGTATTGAAACACATGAAAATATGTTCTTGATATTGCTTGTATTCCATTCACACACGAATACAATATACCCTGGACAGTCCCTTTAAATGGCCTATTCAGACAGATATAGATGTTGGTTATTTTATCAACTTCAAGGCATGTCTCTATAGTTTGTTTGACGTAGACTCATCAAAGATCTTAATGTTTCACAGATTGTATATGCAAATCTTGGAGATGAATTGGAATTTGTAGACCAACTTATATTATATGGCTTTTTTTGTTTCATCCTGGCAAGATATCATGAATAGATTCGTGGTTTCCTTTATTGCATTCATGACGTGAAATGGGGATTATATAATGTCTTGCTTTTCTGAAATTCTGTCCGTCTGTTCCGGCCCTTGTTGGAAGCCACGGTGGGTCAGTGATTAAGGCGAAATGAAATGAAATGGGGTTTAAAGTCCTACTGTTCTGCTCCGACTGGGATAATGAAGACGGGCATACGCCATGCAGTGTGCTATGAGGGCAATTTTGCCCGGACAGCGGCACTACAGTCTACTTTTATATCGAATTCCAACTGCCAATGGATCTTTTACGTGCACGCCAATCTGTACATGTGACCTCAGGTTTTCGTCCCATCGTAACGACAGCTGTCCTCGTCAGGCCCTCACTCCCGCACCACAGACAAGGCTTGGCCAACAACAGACGCGAACCCGCGACCTCCAGACTAGTGAGCCAGCGTCTTACTCCAATCTCGTTTTCCTCTGGTAAAACCCGCCGGCTACAGCATATCATTCTAACAAATCCTACCAATCAGTAGCCATGGGGTTGGGGGGGGGGGGGGCTAAACAACTGAATTCACGCTGATTAATAACCGGCGAGTTTTATCAGAGATAAACGAAGGGTAACGTTATCTCTGGGATCTAGATTGGTCTTACTCTAGGCACCGTGGTCCTTGGTGCAAAAAAAGTTAAACCACATTTCATTACATTTCTTGTGATGTTCTTTTTTAAAAATATTTATTTTCGAAGAATCTAAAAAATAATAAGACGATGCGTGGCTATGTTTTGTAAATATGTTTTATTATATGATATATATATGTCTATACAGTATTATAGTCTTTAAGACTAACACGTCAATAATATATATATAAACACCTATAATATATACTAAATAAACAATACAATACACTCTACACGGTAGCCCTATATAATATGATACTAGTATAGTAAGTGCAGGAGGACAGCACTACACACAAACAAAACCGATCAGGTCAAAATAAAAAAAAATTACCTGTGTTTATGGTTACGCTAGATTTTTTTGAGCCAAAATCACCGACTCTAAACTTTTTTTTCTGATTTCCCGGCCCGTTAATTCCGTCTTTTTGCCAGACAAATTTCAGTACTGAAACTTCGGTATTATTTTCAAGAATCTTACTTAGTAATCAAGCCAGAAATGTTAGAAAATAGATGATACAAAAGATTTTTCCGATCGAACGAGCCTAGTTTTGGTTAACTTATTAGTAATCGTAAACACATGTATTTTTCTTCTTCGTACCAGGATTGTAACCCTTACCCAATGAAAAGGTTACATCCTTTACGTTGAACTATTTTATTTATATAATTCGTGCTTGTTTAAACCGGGATCCCAAGTTAATTTGTTTTTGTACTGCTAATATGTAAAGTTGTTTGAATGGCAATCGCAATACTTCGCCTTTTATTCTATTCATCTTTCGTGCCTGTTTAGTTATTGTGTATCCAGTCATATTAATATGTACATTAAAAATTGCAGACAGATGGTCTAAAAGTTAACTTCATTCAAAATGACTGGACAACAGCGACTAACAAGTCTTGTAGATGAATTGGAAACTACAAGACATGCCATTTTGCGTAGTACATGTTAGAAAACTATCTAATATTATATGACTTTTACTTGGGGAAAGTTTTTTTTTTAGTTTTCTTTATTGTAATCTTTTATTTGCTTATTTGTATATAACAAAATGATGTGGAATGGGCATATTCACCAACGGGGTTAATGAAGACGGGCATGCGCCATGCGGTTTGCCACGTGGGAAATTTTACCATTTCTTTTACGTGGATGGCAACGTGTCCACGTACCTCTGTTTTTGTTCCATTTGAACGACCAGTCGTTTTTCCTTGCTCGGTCCTCCTTTCTGTACTACTATACTGACAAGGCGAAAACCACACTGGAAAATCCCGGAGGTCGACCCCGAGACACCATTGTTAGTGAACTGGCGCCATTCTGAGGAAATATAGCTTTAATATCTACAGCAATTTTAGAATTCCTGTGAGATATATATTAAAATTTATTCACAATCGTATGTGAAAAACGTTTTGCTTTAAATGTGGGTAAATTTAAAAACGACCCGGGCGGTATCATGAACAAATATGATTTAAATGGAAGAAATAGATTACATAAATGAAACGCAGGGAAGTGAAGATATTTTTTGTCAGAACACGTTTTCTATTGGAACACACATCGCGTCATTAAAGAAGGGCGGACTGAATACATTGTAATATACTTCATATGAAACTAGAAAAATACATGCTTTTCTTTTAAAATGTACAAACAGTTTTAAAAAGCACACCGAATATATTGAAAATAAAATATTACAAATGCCACAGAACTAATGTTAGATAACATAATTATTCTTAATATATGTGCGAAAGATTCGGGGAATATGTTCGGGATTACTGCTTTCTTAAAGCCGCTGTTCGTCATTCGGATATCTCGAACAATATCTAATCCAAGCTAACACGTACTCAAATTGATTATTTGATTTAATTAAGACAGTGAAACCAAATATCAACCGTTGATTATCCATCCATTTAGATTCAATAAGATTAAGAAACAATCAGACCCATTAAACGTTTCGCTTATAGGTGGCGCTAGCTTGTTCAGATTTTAAATTTATCATATCTTTGGAAACACTGCGCGGAAACGAACCATTTTGTAACTCCTGGCCCATCAGAAATGAAACTTTTACGATAAATGTAATTTACCAGGGATTCCAGACAAGTCAAATGACAAGCAACAGCTTTTAGAATTCAACAACTAATGTTAGCGGTTATTTATACAGATAAATAACTTCCTGATACATATCCGTTTCTTTGGTCCATTTCGACTGTATAATGCCCTATTTATAGTCTACTATAAACTAGACGTAACTTTTAATAATAAAATGGTTTTTATATGGACGCAGACCACCATTAATTTCTCCATTGACTCTAACTCTTTCACCGGTTCTAACTTTTCCCCAAATTTTCGTAGGGTTGGACGCTTTGTAGCACAGATGGTGCAACATGTGGCAACCTCCTGCTCAAAAGCATGTATGCGGTTCAGCATGGAAATCTTGGGATGCACAAACTGGAAATAGCATAGTACGAAACATGCAACCCTCGGAACTACATTTCAACCTAACCAACCGTTTAACCCTCGTATCCTTACGCGTCAAAAAAGTCAATATTCACCAAAACCTTACAGAAAATGTATATGGAAACCCTTTCTTCGATTTGACACCAAAAGGTCCACAAAAATCGCAATGCAAAAGGGTGGGGGAATGGGATATATAAAGACTAACTTTTGCCCTAGATTCGTGGGTTACCAGCGTAGGAATTAATGGAGTCTCGTGTCCTTACTGTGTCCTATGATTGAATTATTCATTTTCAGCACGGTGCGCAACAAGTACGAGCGTAATATAGAACGAGGGATCTCGTGAGCAATTGTCCAAAGAACAAGCACGTTTCGAATTAGTGGAGCTTTAAGCTTTTTTGAAGTGCATGGCCCCAAAACGAAGATTACCATGTGTATCGAAGCAGTCCCTGGTTAAAATATCAACTTTATCAACATACATATTTCTATTATTTTCACAGTTTGTAATGAGTTTAACTACATTTTACTTGTGCTATTTTCTCTTGTCTTAAAACCAACCATATGTCTACATCTATTCTATATATAAATCACACAAATAATTAATATTATTATTATTATATTATGTTCGTTTCGTTAAAAATATCAATTCAAAATATACAGTTTACACGTCATTCATTGTATTTGATACAACGGTTCTTCTATTCGACAAACACAAACTCGGTAATGTTCACAAATGCAATATCTCACTTTGTTGCCCCATTCAAAGCTACAGCCTCACTTTGACTTTTCGGCTATTCAAAAGAGTAACCCCTCTTTGATATTTTCATCTATTTAACGTTATTGACCCACACATCGATTAGGCTTTCAAAAGCCACAGTCTCACATTGACATTGGTACGCCTTTGTCCAGAATCACGTGACTGTTCATCCTAAAAATTAATTCACTGGAAAGTGTCGTCACCAATCAGAAAACATCCTACAACTTAGAAAATTTGATTGTACCAAAAAGGTACACCGAGAAACTGGTGTAATTACTAGGGGTTTCGTCACTAAAACAAACCAGTTTAAAACTTAGCAGTTTCTATTTTACCACAATGTCACAACAGCGAAATGTTGGTGGATTTACACAGAGACGTTTCGTCACCAAAACAATTGGGTTTAAAACTCTGCAATTACTATTACACCAGAACGGCACCTCGAAAGTCTCTCATTAGTATTGATCTATTAGTATTTATTTATTTCAAACTGTGGCTGTAGTCTCTATCATTTAGTCTTCAATGCTATAAGTATTCCTGACACGATTGGCAGCATTGTTTTTGATAATACTTATATCCACATATTCTTGCTTGACGAACAAACTGGCACCAACTCGGATACGAATCTGTACATCTATCGCCTGAAAACAAACAGGACAAAATATTATTGTGACTCAAATCAAAGAGAGAGATAGAGAGAGAGAGAGAGAGAGAGAGAGAGAGAGAGAGAGTATAACGTCCACTTGACACAAACTATGTCATTTCGGGACTAACATATCGTTTAATTTTATTTCAATAATTCACTTGCGCGTAGGGGTCTTTAGCAGTGAGAGGAGACCGGAGGACCTGGAGAAAACCCACGAGGTTGGACAGGCGACCCTACTCCTTGTCACGCACAAGCGGGGATTCGAAACCACGCCAGTTGACTCAAGGACAGACCTTATGATACAACCCGCACGCGCCAACCGTTCGGCTATCCAATCCCCATCTGGTAGAGGGTGATTTGACAGTAGGGCGTGGGACGAGATGAACATTTGGGATTTTGCAAGCCCGGTTCTCCTTAGACAGAGATAGCGTCTGTCAGCTGAGAAGAATTAGTATACTTAGTAAATCGGATCGTCCCAGAAACTGAGGTCCATCTGTGGACATATTGGCATGTAAATAAGGTTAGGACACGTGATTGTTGGCGAGATTGTCGGTTAGGGTTAGGGTAAGCGTCAGGGCTAGGGCTAGGGTTAGGTTTAAGAATTTGGGGGTTAGAGCTGGGATTAGGCCAGCCCTGTTTACATCTGGTGACCTTCGACTAAACTTGAAGTTGATCTTATGAAATAGATCTAAGCCTACCCTACGTAATAAGGAGTAGGTCTGTTCAAGATTAAAATCTTCTTCTCGACCGGCTAAAAACCTGATATTTTGAAAATAAGATATACTTTATAGTTTGAAAATTTAAAACACAAACAGAAATAGATATCACATACCACCCGAATCTTTCTGTAAACTAAAATTAGCCTTTTTACACGATTCTTTATTGCAACTCTGTCTTTCTGCGGGACGTTTCTTCTTGTCGCACGTTATATCTGGTTGTAGATTAGCATTTAAACATTTCACTTCACGTTGTTTTACTCCACTTCCACATGTTTTGGTACACTGTAAAAAATAATACGAATTTCAGAAAGGGGACGCCTATTTCAATAGCTAATCTGAAATGAAATGGGGTTTAAAGTCCGTTTTATATTTCTGTGCCAACGGAGCTATTGAAGACGCGTATAAGCTACGCTGTTCCGCCTAGATTAATAAGGTAAGTTATTGAGTCACCATTTGGGGCCGCCTCATATATAACGACATGTTTGCCGAGGCGCACATAAAACTAAGTGACATTGGTTGGGCGCCCCGCCAATCTCGCCGTGAGCGCCCATCCAAGTCACTCGGCTTTATGGGGCATGTTTGTCGTTGGCTAGACGCCCATTGGGGGCGCCGATTTTTTCCAGGGGGCAGCTGCCTCTTGCCCCCCCCCCTCCCGCTGGCTACGGGCCTGGATAATAAGTAAGACTGAGTCGCTGTTATTTTTATTCAAATAGCCATCTTATTATGTCATTTAAGGAATCTGAATAAGACTTGACATAATTGACTACAGCACAATATTTTGACCCCGGCAATTCGTTACATGTTACCTGTGTGTATTCCGTCATATACCACGTGGAGCCACAAGGCGGTAAATCTTCACACCCTTTAACTGATTCCGGTTTATCTTCTATTAAACAATTTTCATCCTTGACTATAGTATATACATCAGATCGTAATTTCTTCATACAAACCACGCCTCTTGTTATAGCCCCAATACCACACGTGGCGTTACACTGCAAAATGAATAAAAAATAATTTTATTTCAATAATTTGCCTGGTCGCATGGGTCATTGGGTCTTTGTTAATGCTGGGAAACCCATAATGGCAGACGACCGACCCTAGTCCTTGTCACTACAAACCCAGGATCAAACCCACGACTTGAATAGAGGTCTTGTGGTCTATATCGCGCGTTACACCCTTTCCTTGTTAGAATCTTTTTCTCTGCCAGGTTAATGAAGACGACCAGACACCAAGGGTTCTTTTACGAGTGAGACTTCAAGGGAATGCTCGATTCACAGTCCGGAACGTCCCGAATTGACAGAATTGCAATCGAGTGACGCGGAATTCAGCCCTGTCACAGTTCTGTCAGTTCCGACGACGGAGGTGGTGTCAGTAGAATTGTGACGTAATTAAACACGACGAACGGGTTTCGGCTGCATGGTTGGATGAGATATTTATATATCCAGTCGACGCATGCGTTGTAGCCCGAAGTACTAGCCCGTTCAATCGAGTACGCCCCAATTGTCCATGCAAGACCCGCCATCCTGCATAACTGGCAAGAGGAAGCCAGACTGGAAGATCAGGAACGAACCCAGGATCTCCTGCTTAGTGAACCAGTGTTTTCGTTAGCTCACAACCCGTGGTACGTGTTTTGACACGCACAGGTCGTAGTGTTTGGTAGCTCGCAGACCAGCCAGAATAACAAAAAAAACGAGTGAAAAGTTTGTATGTGCAGAACCAACAGTCTCTAAGGTCAATCTGAGATCTTCTACGGTATCGTATGGAAGCCTATAACTGCCAATCATAATTTCTACTTTTCGGCTCTTCAGAACGCGAAAGTCGAAAAGTCGAAAAGTAGAAGTTACGACAAAATGTGAGGCGACATCACGCTATACAAGCCAAAATCAACCTGAAAATAGGAAATTAAGAAATATCACACCGCGATAATAGCGCACCTCGTTTTTTTCCTAATTTCTAATTTTCGACTTGCATTTTGGCTTGTATACCGTCTTGTCGACTTTCGACTTAGTCATGTTTTTGTATTTATTGATGTTAGTAATATGGCGCCAACACGCATACCAAGTCAAAATGCAACTCGAAAAGTAGAAATTAGGAAATAAACACACCCGCTATTAGCGACCTACCATTTTGGCTTGCACACGCAAGTGACGCGTAAGTCTCACGCACGAGTTTTCTAACCCCCCCCCCCAACCACCGCAAGTACGGCGGGTTGTGGGCTAGGCTTAACTGAGCCACAGTGACTTGATAAGCTACAATATCTTCAGCATTCCATCGATTGCTGTTGATTTGGACGTAAACATTTTGTACATGTCGGAATCCCAATTATCTCAGAGATACCAATCATAGAACAATGATTTCATTTTCTTACAATTTAAATGTTTACCTGGAAATACAAGATACCTTATTGCGTATGGCATTCTCGGTATGATTGCGATCGATTTCTCTTAACATTTGTGACTTCGATCTATGATAATTGTTTCAACAGGTGTATTCAGTTGAGAGCGAAATATAGAATGGTCTGATTACAAATACCTGGAATACATATCTTCAGGTGTGTGCATAAACTTATAGCCGGGGGGTCAAGCAAGTGTTATTCTGATTAATTTCGCAGAATGTGCACCTTGTGAACGTTCTTAAATGCAAGTTAACGTAGGTGCATATTTCAATCCCATGCCAATACCGCTTGTCTGACATTTTCAAATCTTAACCCATGTATTGTAAATGAATATGTATTAATGTTAGCGCAATTTTTGCCCCCATAGCTGCGTCGTGAACTGTTCTCTAATTACTGACAATTCCGTATTCATCTAGAAATTCCGTTTATTTTGTGACTTTGTTTTCTGCTTATTTCGTCAAGAAAAGTTTATGTGTTTTGGACAGGTAGTGTCGTAATGTAGGAACCACAATTAGACACTGTTCAATCCTGGTTTTGTACGAGACCATTCCGCGATATTTTGTAGTTTTAATGTAACTCGAAGAACCGAATGCCTTGGTTGAGAAATCGACGAAGGGTAGCCAGAAACACCGTGGTCCGGACAAAATGTCCCTGCATGGCGTATCAACGTGTTCATAAGCTCGGTTGGTGGGACTTTTCATAGCAGTTTTAAAACACTTACTTTATTCCACGGCCCAGCAAACCAATTTCCACCACAAGGTTTCGGACTTTTGCAGGACTTTCTAGTTTTGGGTTTGGATTCAATGGAACATTTTCTCTCTGGTAGTGACGTGCCATCGTCTGCAGCACAATATATATTCCTGGTGTAGAATCCACGCCCACAATCCGTTGAACACTAAAATAATAAAATAATCAAGAATCGAAACAGTACAATACATAAAACATCAACTGTTATAATAGTGCAACACATCGTAGCACGTACTGTTATAATAGTACAATACACAGAACATCAATTGTGCAATACATCAAAATACCAATTGCTTTAAATATTGTAATACATCAAAATACCATCTAATAGTGGAAAACATCAAAATACCAATTGTTTTAATAGCGCAATACATCAAAATACCAATATTGCTTTAAAAATTGCAATACATAAAAATACCAGTTGATCTAATAGTTCAATATATCGAAATACCGGTTGTTCTAATAGTGCAATTCAAAATACCAGTTCTTCTAATAGTGCAATACATCAAAATACCAATTGATCTAATAGTGCAATACATCGAAATACCAATTGTTTTAATAGTGCAATACATCAAAATACCAATTGTTCTAATAGTGCAATACATCAAAATACCAATTGATCTAATAGTGGAATATGTCAAATACCAATTGCTTTAAATATTGCAATATATCAAAATACCAGTTGATCTAATAGTGCAATACATCAAAATACCAATTGTTCTAAAAAATATTATTATACTGTTAACAAGTACAACAAGTAAAGTTTAACTATACTAGTTTGTCTGTAACAGAATGTCAGCAGCCTTTACCACATTTTACTTTTTTATTATCGTTAAACCCCGTTTCATTTCATTTCGTATTTTTACAGTAGCTGTCCCGCCCACTCCTTCATTGTCGGCAAATCTTGGAGAACTATGCTTTTAAATCTACTAATTTCATTTTTTTAAGGACAAAATAACAACGGTCGATAATTTCCAGACTTGAATTTCATCGGATTAAAAAGAGGCCCATCAAAAAAAATTATCCAGTACTATATCATCTCCAGAAAATGATGAATATCGTGAATTATGAATTTTGAAAAGTTTTGGACTGATACTCTCCTTAGAGATTCAACTCTCAAAATATTGTAAGAGGTAAAAGATTAAAAATCTCCCAAATGGTAATCAGCGCCTTTAACAATGGCCGTTTTTATCATCATCCTACTCCTTAAAATGTCGTAATAGATATACTAAAAGTGATTGCCATCGCCAAAACTATTACAATATAGAGAACACCTAGCAACAAGGGTGCGTGATCGTGTTCAATTTATAATCTGCCAAAAATTCATTAAATTCTCGTAAATGATCAGCCCAGTACGTATGAATCTACATCAAGGCTTAGTCGGTGTTGTTTCATAATCGTCTGTGTTGAAAATTGTCTGAATAATTGCTCATTTTATAACGTAACGACTAATCTAAATGATCTTTTAAGACCTTTCACTCATAATTTCTGTAACAAATCACCATCTAAAACCCCCCAAAGAAACTTTATCATATTTACATAAGTTAAAAATGACAATATATAATGTTAATATCTACGATATGTCAGTCACGAGCGGTATGTGGTTTATCAAACAATATCTAAATGTGTTTTAAAGATTTAAAAGGGGTTTAACAGGGATTAGGCGAGGTTGGTTAATGTCTGTACTATATGCGACGTTATCGCACTTACATCTCCTAGTAGGTGGGAGGTTCAGATATTGCTGTGTGTGTGTGTGTGGAGAGAGAGAGAGAGAGAGAGAGAGAGAGAGAGAGAGCATGTGTTAAACGAAGTAGATTAAACCTGAGGCGAGGGTGTGGGAGCCAAGGTATTTCTGTTCTTGTTAGAAGAAAATGGGTTTTAACGTTCCACTTTGCTATATCGGCAAGGCTAATGATGCCGTCGACTAGACACAAACTAGGTCATTTCGGGACTAACACATGGTTTAATTTAATTTCAAATGGGATAAACCCGAGGACCCTGAGAAAGCCCATTTATAAAGAGCTAAATCCACAAAACATGCTCATGGCGCACACTAGTCTCTTACAATCTAATTCAAACAGATAAGTTTTTTAAATCAGATTTGAATTTTTTTTTTAAATTTCGACCTAAAATGGTGGTCTGTGGAGTATATCCCGGGCGGGAAGTCATAGACTTGGTTCTAAGCCGTTAGTGTCGATCTAAATTAGTAATCTGAATGAAGTTGTTGCAGATCCTATTTCCGAATAGTGCAGAATTTGTTTCTTAGGACTCGGAGAATTGATTCAAGATTTTATTTCTAACGGTTATGGCACTTTCCTGTTATCCAAATCCGACTACATGCGTGTGCAAAAAGAATTAATAAATAACACCAATGAGACAGTGAGTCAGTAGTATTTCCGGAGGTCGAATTTTCAAAATGTGTCACATTGAGATAAAGAAGTTTAAGAACATACTACGTACTAATGATATGTCATAAACGATACACCTCATATTGATACAATACATTTGTTACACAAGATACACTGGTATGTACAGATTATACTGCATATTAGCCAAGCACGCATGACTAGAGTACCTATAGACCAAAAATCTGAAAAGAGTCCCAATTTTTTACCATCAACAGGCACCAACTGACGCCAAAGTTTATTTCACCCAGAATAAACTATCGCAGCGTATTTAATACCACTTCCCATATTTGTTGTACTTTCGTATTCAAATATGACAGATACATGAGAGGTGATACTAGCCAGGTCCGTACAGCCCCCCTGCAAAAGGTTTTGACCCCCTGTGAAAAAAATGTCGACCATAGATATACATTGTCCGTCAATTTTACAGCATCCCTGAGAACACTTTCCACCCCCTCGTTGCTCTGGGTTAGTTACGGTCCTGGTACCAGCTGTTCTACGTAGCGCATTCTAATCCTGGCGCCATATTTTAAGAATTTACTACTAGAGCATCCATAATTACAGTCATAAACCAATAATCTCTCACCTCCTCCGACCATCTACTATGGTACCAGCCCTTTGCACAAGATCCCATGTCACAAATTTCTTCTTCATCCGGTTTATGATGTCCACACTGTTGATCATCAGTTGTCTGCCCTTTGATATCCACACACGTGACTTCTCTTGTTCTCTGACCATGACCACAATTAGTTGAACACTACAGCGAAACAACGACAATAAAACAGGATTTTATTTGCGACAACTGGTCCAACTACACATGGATTATAAAAAAAACCTGGTGATATTTTAAAATTGCATTTTGTACTGAATGTGATTGGATTTTTGAACAATCATAGACATATTGGTAATGCGACCTTAATAACGACCTTGCCATGACCAACGGACGAACAGACAGTGTGGGCGTGTAATATTAATATTTCATATACTAGGCGAAATACAATAAATAACTTGTTGTATTACAAACACAGACAAGCTGTAAAATCCAAAATAGAAACCGACAAATTTGTACCAAAGAGAGCCATAAATGATACTACTCTGTATCAACCGGTCTAATGAAGTGTGCTATGGGGGATATTTTGCCCTGGTAGTGACGCTACGACCTAATCGTTTTTCATTGTCAAACTGCCAAGATACCTTTCCCGTTTTACCAAGGTGTACCAGACGCTTTTCCTGTCCAGACTGCAAAATCGAGAATGCGTTTCTTGGCCAACACCGGGATCCATAAATAAAGACAGTGTTATTTGTAATACATGTGATGCACACAATAGATCAGTGATTCTCAACCAGTGTGCCGTGGCACACAGGTGTGCCGCGAGATCTTCCTAAGTATGCCGCGAAATTTTGAACGGCGCACTAAGAAAATGAGAAAAACCAGGTGATCCCAATTGAGTATTTACTGGTTCGTAAGTTCATAGCTGTGTTTTTCTCCAATTTAGTACGAGTCGTTCTATATGTCTGTGACTAGTCTGTGTCTACGGTTGTATGCCGTCTATGACTTGCCATGTTTTCATTTTGCAAAATTCAAATATTTTTCATATATATTAAGCCAGGTGTGCCGCTATTTTTTCACGTGTTCCAATGTGTGCCGTTGGCAAAAAAAGGTTGATAACCACTGCAATAGATACTTTAAAATCCCATTTGTACAATAAAATAAAAAATAGTTTAAAATAGTAGAAACGAACCTTACTCCAATGTCCAGTATTCCAGGTGGCACAAGGATCATTTTGACATTTCTTTGTTCTGTGAGGTCTGTCTGTATTTAAACACAGTGAAGCTGAAACACTGATTGCTAGAGTTGGGGATATTCGTCTTCTACATTCAACTAATCTCGTTTGCTTACCTGAACCACAGGTAACACTACAGGCCGACCAGTTACCTGTGTGCCAACTGTAATATATAACCATGTGTTAGTCTCATGATAACTTAATACAACATAGGCTACCCGTATAAAATGTAAGAATAAAATAATGTTAGTATGAAATGAGGTTTAACGTCCTTATACAACAGGATCAATAAAGATAGGTATGTGTCATCCAATGTGCTATGAGGATACTTTTGCCCGGACAGTGGCGTTTCCGACTGCCAAGGGTTCTTTTACGTGCACGGGAGCTCGGTTTTTCGTCCCATCCGAAAAACTAGACGTTATTATTTGTTAGTTCCTCTGTCCTTTGACTTCTTGGACCAGTTGGTGTTGAAATGTATTTCAGAACTATTTATGTCCGTTGCATCGCTAAAATATTTGAAGTTCAACAGCTAATTGAATGTCTAAGTCAGAAAAGAAATATGTTATCAATGTGGTATATATCAAGTATTAAATGGTCAGACAGGTGCGAGATTATATCGTAAATACTACAGATGGTTGCGTAAACCATTGATATAGGCGTTCAACAAGGTGGTATCTATTTCACACATACACCATAGTTGATTCACAAACTACAACAACAATCTTACATTTCTGTAAGGGAGCCAAGTGAACTGTGGCCATAGAAATAATCATAAACTACAACAGCAGTCTTACATTTCTGAAAGGTGGCCATAGAAATAATCATATATCGAACATGTGTTATAGTACTGTAGACTTATTCACATTGTAATAGTAAGTGCAGGGGGACTGTACCACACAAAATTTACACAAAAACAAATACAGGGACAGGACATCATACTCAGGAAAACACAAACATACAGACAATTCAAAAAAAGTGAATGGATCCGGGGGCTAGCCGTAAGCGTCCACTGCGCTGTACAGTCCCGGGTCTGTAGTGACACAGACTTCACTCAAATTTGAAAACAATTAGGAATACAACCCAAAGAACCCATTGTGCAATGCCAGCGTGAGTCATGATCTGCTATATGTTTCCAAAGAATCACTATTGAACTAAATAAGTAACAGGACACAATTATTATGGGAAACAATCATTGGTGTTTGATTACGATAAGAGGATATTTGCCGAAACGTCTTGCTTTTAGAATAAATCCTGTGATTGTTTCCCATAAAAATTGTGTTCTGTTAATGGGTTTCCCAATCGCTGAATACCACTTAAAGTGGCATTAGGTAAGGTTAGATAAAGAGCTGACAGTTCTCGCTATAATAGTTAAAAAAATAGATAACGAAAGGAGAATATTTAGAAAATTTCATTCAAATTACTTCATTCTGAATCTGAGCAAAGGAATCGGTGATGTAATTATAGGCTAGTCTCGATTATCCACTTTTACGGTAACCGTATCCACCAGAAAACGTATTTGAATCCAGTAAATATCGCAGGCTAGCGATGACATCGAGATTTGATTATTGTTGGATAAGTTAATTAATGTCTAATTAATAATTCAGATAACATTTCAGGCCTAAAGAAAGACCTGCAATAGGCAAATTTAGCTCTTGCATGATACATGTTCAAATATTATTCAACTATACTTTATTTAAGGGATGGCGTCTGATGAATTCAAGGAAATTAAATGGGGTTTAACGTCCTACTGTTCTGTATCAACGAGCCTAATGTACGTCATGCAGTGTGCTATGAGGGAAATTGTGACTGGGCAGTGGCCCTACGTACTACGCTAATTTCGATTTCCAACTTCTCGATTTTAATGTGAATCCAAAGGTAAACACGGACCATCAGATCTAATAAACGTCATTCCTTTTCTGGGTCTCCGTCATGCACCATTGACAAGGGAAAGCAACTCGGGAAAATACCGTGGAATTTTCTCGGCCAACACCGGGATAAAACCCGGGACCTTCAGGTCAGTAAGCCCACGCCTTACAAGACAAGGGTGCCGCCTTGGGGCAGACAAGGAAGGTATTTCCTATTGGACGAAATACTGAAGTCGTCCCGTGTACACACTGACCTTCACCTTAAAAAACCTTTGACAATTGGAAATCGAATTAGAGTAGACGGAAATTCCCGATCTGTTTCACAGAGATCTCCTAATATCTCTGTAACAGATGACTGTTTCGACACGTGACGTCATATCACGCGGCGTCAATCATTGGCTCAATAGCGCGTGCATTGTTTACATAAGACGTTACTGATTCGGGCTAAATGGTGAATTTTACTTATTTTAATACCCATTTACACTAAATAGGAAATGATTTTTACCAACAAATAATTCAAACGTCTTTATTTATTTTTCTAATAAATGAAAGAAATGTTTTAGAATTTAATTTGATGGAAGAAAAAAGTTAATATTTGGCACTCATTAAAGTTGCATCGATGTCATCCTTACCACTGTAAATGTAGCAATAGAATAAAAAGTTATAATAATCACAAAATGATCAAAATATTGTGCTGACGAGCCATTTAACTCCAAACATACACATTCTTCCTGTAGCGATAAAAAAAAAAGATACTCACTCGGCCGGACATGGATTATTATTGCAGTTAACTTTGTGTACAGCTGGTATCGTTGCCAGATCACAATTTTCTTCCGTTACAACTGCATTAGATGTTCCTTTAACACACAATATACGGGCTTCCTGGGTTCCTGCAAACATATTCAATATATAGTCCACACATTACAATCAATAGTTAAATGAAATAAAAGATTGTTTTTTAAAAACAATCTTTCTTTTCTGCACCTACTGGACTAATGAATACGCCACGGTCGTACGCAACTATGAGGGGAATTGTGCCCGGGCAGCGTGTACACGGGTCCCGTCTGCCAAGTAGTAGCTAAAGTAGCAAATCGTCATTTGCATTTTTTCAAACAAAAATCTAATATTTCCAATGCTAATCAACGATAATACGCTCGTACAAATCAACTCGCGGTGCTTTGAATCTCGAATCTCACTTTAACGTTACTTGGATTGTCTCAGTGATATCGGATATAATCAACTTCAATGTTTGAGCTACGTTTTAACTCACGGCGGTTTGAGGCTCACGTTTAAAATTACTTGGATTGTCCCAGTCATATCCGATGTTTGAACCTCACTTTAAAGTTTTGGGGTTTCTCTCGGTGATATCGAATATAAAGCAACTCCACTGTTTGTCCCCCCCCCCCCTTAAAGTTACTTGGATTGTTCCAGTGACTGATATCGAATATAACTCTAGTGTTTGAACTTCTCTTTAAAGTTAGTGGGATCGTCCAGTGATATCGAATACAAATTAACTATAATGTTTGAGCTTGCCTTTAAGGTTAGTCGGTTTGTCTCAGGGATATTTGACACCCAAGACCCACGATGATTAATTGTTCAGGGCTTTGTAAGGATTACCTGCCCCTCCCCTTACCGCCTACATTAGATGTTTATGAAGATATATGTAGGTATTAATTACTCTTTATTAGACACGTGTTGTACAGTCAGATCATTCATTCTCTCTCTCTCCCTCTCTCACTCCCTGCCCCTCTCTCCTGTTGTACACAATTAGCTTATTCGCTTTATCAACGGAGTAAAGACATTTTAGTGCGAAAAATTTGGTATTTTTCGAAAAATGAAAATGATACAAATAGTCCTTAAACCATTTGGTTAAACTCTGACTCATATTTAGTTTCGTTTCAGAAGAATACATCAAACAGAAAACGAAATATATATCTCCATAATAATAAATATTTAAAAAATATAAATTTTATTGAATATAAATTTTATTACATTTCCCCTAAGATTAAAATAAGACCATGTTTCGTTTCGTTTCATTGTAGTTCAAATTAATAGCTAGTGTACTCAAAAATATTTAAATAAAAACAAAAACCAACAGCTAAACGAAATTTAAATCTGTACGTTTTAAAGAGTTCAAGCAGCGTGAAACTTGTGGTAATAAAGTTCAGATGTTCACCAATATTATTTGCATATTCTAACTGTTTAATTGTGTTACCTACTGATGTTTGAGATATTTCAAGACTTAGTATCTTAATCACCTACACGGGAGGCCGAATTAATTTACAATTTGGTTATATAATTGTTATCGTTTATTCATCACTGTTAACAACACCGAGACTTTTCTTTTTCAATTTGATAGAGTCTGTATTTCTACGCAATTTTATAAATTATAATTTTCTCTCATTTTCTTTTTTATAGTGTTCGGTGTAAAATGCCATCAAAAAGAATCCACCTGCCTTGATAATAGCGACACAATGCTGTGAACCAATGAAGTTCCGCGATAAGAGTCAGGATCATTAAGTCTTTTAATGCACTGTACAAGAGAAAAATTTACACCAGTCGTTTTTTAATAGTTCATAACTCTCAAGACGCATTTTCCCGCCGCGTGACCCGACGGATGTGCACAAATTTCCAGACGTATACATTTAAACAGTGTCTAGCCAATTAATGCCGGCATTTTAGCATAATTCAAGGTCAATTATTCAAATTTACATAGAACTTCGTCCATTTTTCAGGTGGTGTTGTAGATTAGCATCTTAACTACGTTCATATAGCAATCACTGTGTGTCTAGGTATACCTGTCTATAGCCCAGAAGTCTGCCCAGCGGCACTTTCATTTTCTTGTTTATAAGCGAGTAATAGAATTTTGCAGATTTACATCTTCATGCTAACATTTACGGCTAGAACAGGTACCAAAGAAACCTTACCTCCACCACAGGAATGTGAACACTCGGTAAAACCGGAAATCTTCCAGGAATACAAGCCGCTAGTATCCAGTACACTTTTATCATGATCTTCCAGCCCATTCACTAACTGATTGTAACTGTTTTGCGTGTAGCCATTAGGCAAGGTGATATCCGCATTAGGATTTGATGGTAGAACACTGTTTGGTACATACTGCCCCGTTCTACCCACAACACTCTGTCTGGAACCATAATCAGTATCGCGTCCTAGATATGTAGAACCAAGCTGATTACGATGATGATTGGTGTGTGACCGACTAAGTACTTGCTGTTGGTAGCCCTGTCGTGCGTTTGGTATATACCGCGGCGATTGTCCGAACTGTATCTGCGGAGTCAAGCGATCTGCATCCGTTCTTCGCCGTATTATATATCGATCATCAACTTTAACCGTTCTAGAATTTGATCTTCCCACTGACACATCGTCGCGTTGCTCTTCCGGGACGGCTTCAACTTCGTCATCTTCACGAGGTCTGGTTTTCTTCTTCTTATGTTTCCTGTTATGGTGTTTTTTGTGGCCGTTTTTATGTTTTCGGTGATGTTTTCTACCCTCTCTGTGATTCCTGGTGACATGTTTTGAGGTTGTTGAGTCTGATGATGGTGGTGGTGGTATACCGAGTTGGGAGACCATATCATGAGGTATTGTAAACTGGTAAATAATCCCTGGATTGTGATGATAATATAGTATCTGGAAAGAGAATATCAGAATAACCCCTATGATCACATTCCGAAAATACCAAATTATAATCTTAAATCTTCTGCCCCGCACCCCCGCCCCACAGTGTACCAACACTATGGAACATTTTATCTTATCATTTCAAAGAATATCGACTATGATCACATTCCCACAATACCAAATTATAGTCTTAAATCTTTTGCCCCGCATCCCCATCCAAAATGCGCCAACACTATGGGACATTTTATCTTATCATCTCAAAGCTTCACAATGTTTGGAAATGTTTAAATCAAAATTTCAGAAAAGTAGTAACTCCATTAAAATAACAATGTATATGTCTTGTTATAATTATTAATTAACACACTAAAGTTTTTAATTCGAAGTGCCGCAAGATTTGATTAATTCATTTTCCTAGATTTAAATATGGCGACAAGGGATTATATATTTTAATTTGGGTAGTCTATGACGTTTTGGTGCATTCATTTTATTCAACTTACTTCAACATCTATGCTAGTGTTGGTTGGTCCTGTTGCATAAATACTAAAGTTTTTAATTCGAAGTGCCGCAAGATTTGATTAATTCATTTTCCTAGATTTAAATATGGCGACTAGGGATTATATATTTTAATTTGGGTAGTCTATGACGTTTTGGTGCATTCATTTTATTCAACTTACTTCAACATCTATGCTAGTGTTGGTTGGTCCTGTTGCATAAATACATTCTCCTGGACAACTTCCGCCCGTGTTTCTATAATAACGAAACTCCGTTCCTGCTCCTCGGTAAGTTCCGGTGTGACTTATATGTTGAAGGTGATCGATGACGTAATCGCCATCTGTTATCTTTAAGGCTGAAAACAATTAAATATAGATTTTAATTATGTGACAAAGAATTGAACATAGATTTTTAATGAACTAAATAGTAGCAACCGATAAAGTAAAAACTTAATAAGCATCGATACTGTTGGGATCTACGCAACTGTATAGAATATAATGTCGGCCATTTTAACACTATGGAAATCTGTTATTTTCGAGGGTGTTTGGGTGGCCGAATGGTTAACGGGTGCGTGTTGCATCATTAGATGTGCCATTGAATCAAGCGGCGTGATTTCGATTCCTGCTTGTACGTGACGAGGAGTAAGGTTGCCTGTCCAACCTCGTGGGTTTTCTCTGGGTCCTCCAGTTTACTCCCACTGCTAAAGACTCCTACGCGCACAGCGAATTAATGAAATAAAATTGAACCATATGTTAGTCCCGAAATAACCTTGTTTGTGTCGCGTGGACTTTACCCCCCCCCCCTCTCTTTCTCTCTCTCTCTCTCTCTCTCACAGCGCTTGGGATGTGTTCAGTTCTCTACTGTTCTAATACGTCTCCAGTGACAATTTGAAAGTTGGTGGGGATGGCATTCCAATGTAAATCTGTCAGATATGAAAATGAATTTGCTCCAAAAATTTTCAATTTTACGCTGGTAATTAAACAAGAAATGTATTTCTTGATCGAAGGTTCCTAAAAGGTAAATGTCCCTGAACATGTTCCTATAGTTACACGAGTGCTGTAATACGAAGCCAATGAAGATAGGACAAAACAGGCGAAATGTGGTCACAAACTAAAGATTCTATCGTAACTATCTGAAACTGGTAAGAGAAAGGGAACTCGGTGAGTAAGACGCTAGCTCACTAATCAGTAGGTCCCGGGTTCAATCCCGGTAATGGCCGAGAAAGTTCTTTGAGGATTACTCAGTGTGGTTTCCACTTGTCAGTGATCTATGACAGACAGCCTGGCAAGGAACAGTGTCTAGTCGTTCGGGTGATATGAAAGAGAACTATTGGCAGTTGGAAATCGACGAAGATAAGGCAGACACGTCGCTTTCCTTCACGCATTAAACAGCGTATATCTGTCTTCATAAGCACTTGTTGGTTTAGAAAAGCAAAGATTTAAACCCCCGTTTCATTTCACCCAAACATAATTCTGCGTTTTGGAGAACAAACATGTCAAAAGACTCAGTCCATCACTAATGGTTCTATAACACACGTGTAAATATTGAAATAGAGTCAAAGAGAGAGAGAGAGAGAGAGAGAGAGAGAGAGAGAGAGAGATGGGTTTTAACGTCCACTCGACACAAACTAGGTCATTTCGGGACTAACATATGGTTTAATTTTATTTCAATCATTCGCTTGCGCATAGGGGTCTTTAGCAGTGGGAGGAAACCCACGAGGTTGGACAGGCGACCCTACTCCTTGTCACGTACAACCGGGGATTCGAAACCACGCCAGTCGACTCAATGACAGACTTTATGATACAGCGCGCGCACGCTAACCATTCAGCCATCCAACCCCCCGAAATAGAGTCAAGATGTGGGTGGTTTTATAAACGTGTATGAAGACATAACAACATAAGACATGTAATATACCTATTTATCATCTAATATAAACAATTATACCACAGAAAATATCCAGAATAATATTATTACAATAAAATACATATATTCTGTTGACGCCCACTTATGCCGATCTTCTGGTCGACTGTTTACACCTAAGGAACTATTTGTTGAAGTCTGGTATCTTGTGTGTTGTGGTTGTTGTCAATGGTACCGTTCACACAGCAGGTGTTAGAGGTTTTCTTGGGAGGGGGTGGGGTCATCTCGGTTGAGGAGATCAGGGTGGTTGGTGATAAGATCGGGGTAGTACGAGAGGAGATCAGACAGCCCGGTTGTGGAGCATATCAGGCCGGTTGGAGAGAACATCAGGCTACTTGGGGCGATGAAGCTTGCAGACTGGTTGTGGAGCGTATCAGGCTGGTTGGAAAGATCAGGCCAGTTGGGGAGAAGATGAGGATAGTTGGTGCGATGAGGTTGGTAAGAGAGGAGATCAGACAGGCTGGTTGTGGAGCATTTCAGGCCGGTTGGAGAGAACACCGGGGTACTTGGGGCGATGAGACTGGCAGGTTGGTTGTGGAGTGTATCAGTCTGGTTGGGAAGATCAGGCCCGTTGGCGAGAACATCCGGTTAGTTGGGGCGATGAGATTGGTAAGAGAGGGAATCGGGCAGGCTGGTTGGTGGAGCGCAACAGGCTGGTTGGGAAGATCATATGGCCGGTTGGGGAGCAGATCAGGTCGACTGGGGTCGAAACCAAGCTGATTGAGCAGGAGATCGGGTAATTTGTGGAGGTCATTTCCCTACTATTTTGGACCAATCGGACTAATAAAGACCGGCATACATCATATAGGTTTGTCTGGACAGTGGCGTTTCATGTACACGGATCTTTGGCATTTTGTCCCATCCGAACGACTAGAATCTGCTCCTTGCCATGCCCTCCTGCACCACATTTTCGACCTCTTGGTTAGTGAGTCAACGCCTTACTGACTGAACTACCATTTCGTCCCATCCGAATGACTAAACACTGTCCCATGCCATGTCCTCCAGCACCATTTTCTCGACTTCCTGGTTACTGAGCCAACGCCTTACTGACTGAACTACCATTTCATCCCATCCAAACGACTAGACACTGTTCCCCGCCATGTCCTCCTGCACCACTTTCTCGACTTCCTAATAAGTTAGCCAACGCCTTACTGACTGAGCCACCGTGGCTACCGAATTAAAATTTATAATTATGAATGTTTATCTTAGTATATGATGCCGGTGGGTATTATTTATCCTTCCTTCTAATTTCTATTTTTATAGTACACGATATATTCTGATATTATTCTATAATTCAGAGCGTCTCTTTTTTATAGAACACGCCACAATTCGAGATAAATAATAATTATGAATGATTCGCATTTTATAATATCGGTTGGTATTTATCTAGCACTCGAGTGTCTATCACAATTTGAAAAAAATAATTATTTTATACATTTCTCTTATTGTACGATACGTATTTATTTTTCACCTTTTATTTATTATTCATTTCACCTGTTGACCAGAATCAATATTACACCTATATACTACTGACCCCATTTCTCACCTGAAATGTCAATCATTTGACCAACAAGGGCTTTAATAATACGCTACGGTCAGTAGTGGTGGTCATATGTCAGCTATATGAGATAAATGTCACTCGTTAGGCCGTAATGTCAATACTAATACAAGTAGCTTTAACTAAGTCCAAGTGTCCACTCGTAAAAGGAGTGAATTAAGTCCCCTTGGTAAATGATCATAAGGTAGGCTACCCGTTTTAAGATAAATTTGATACTAATTATATAGATGGTTATCACGTGACATAATGGCTCAATTTGTCGGCTTATACCCCTTGTGTGGACCTCAGATTAACTTTGATCTTACTACTGGTAGCTGATGAAATAAAATGGGGTTTAACCTCCTACTGCTATGAAACAGCCGGACTAATGAAGACAGGTAACCCCCATTCTCTCTCTCTCTCTCTCTCTCTCTCTCTCTTATACGCGCACACCAACGTATACACGAGACAACGTTTTATTCTAGTTTCTTGTAAATTCGAGTGTCAAATAAAATTGGAGTTTCCGAGTACAGTCCTTCTCACGAGTCGTAAATTGTTATTCAAGCCGAGTCTCTTCTGCTTTCAAAACACCCATGCTAATACAGCCATTATGATCAAAACCCTACTTTCTTTGATGAGACCACAAAGTTCTCGTACACAAATTGGATCCACTATATTTGTTAATATGTAGTTTCCAGTAGTTTCCAATGATGGTTGATGACAGTTAACAATAGTCCTTCTGGGTAGGTTGTGTCTTTCAAAAACTTGGACTGTTTGTAAAACTGATACGTTATTAAATCATTATCTTTCAGATGAAAACTCTTAGTTACCGTATACACGACATGATTCGAGATTAGGATTAGGACCAATTGTTTACCCGGATTTCATCCAGTTCGTCTATTCAGTGCAATTGTCTACCCTTTTCCTAACTTTTGCACGGCAATTTTTGTGGACCTTTTTGTCTTGAATTTACATCTTCGGCCAGGTTTGAGTGAAAAATCATGAATTGGAGGTGGGAGGATCAAAACGGGTATAAATTGGGGAAATCACCTACAAATATGACGTCGCAGCATATATATTCCTTTAACCGAGTGTAGAAAAATATCGACTGGTTGATCAAAATGAAATGAAATGGGGTTTAACGTCCTACTGTTCTACTCCGACTGGGCTAATGACGACGGGCATACGCCATACAGTGTGCTATGGGGGATATTTTGACCGGAGAGTGTCACTATATCCTTCTCTTGTATCGAATTCCAACTGTCAAGGGATCTTTTACATGCATGCTAACTACTAGACATCTGTCCTTGTCAGGCCCTCAGTCCTGCACCACTGACAACGGGAAACCACGTCGGAAAATCCAGATGAACTTTATTTTGGCCAATGGAGGGATGGAACACCCGAACTACAGGCTAGCGAGCCAGCGTCTTACCCACTTAGCCACCGTAGCTCCGACTGGTCGATCAACCACCTTCAATATATTATTATCAGATGATTATGACATGTTGGACCCTTTATGGTTGAAAGATTAAGATCATCTCAATGTTTTTAATTTTAAAAAAATGACATCAAGGGGGAGATAATTTCTACTAGGCCTATTATTAGTCTCGATTGACTTAACTTACGGTCTCATCAGAATCTGAAAACGTATCGTTCATGTATGTTTATGATGATGTAGTTGGTTTTTATAGTTATTTTATTATGTTTTAATTCTGTCGACATGTAGAAGGGAAATCGTTAAATCATTATATCTGTCTTGTCTGTCAACACTTCATGGCTACACGTGTAAAACATGTCATTATCATATAAACTATTGGTCAACTCGACGCCATTGTCCACACGTCGTGTTACTATGACAATGACGGTTACGACACGTGAGTTATTCCAATTCCATTTCGTGACAGTTTAGAAGCAGTGTCGCAGAGTTCACATGGGCCGGGTCCGACTAGTTTACACGTTCGTTTCAAAGAGAACATACTTAAAGAATCTTCCATAAAAAATTACACGACCGGTTATGAATCATTGACATTGTTCTATGCCACTGATTTTCGAAATATTTCTTATTCTTCATCCTTGGTCACTAATTTATGCAAATAGCATCGACATTCCGTAGTCAAGTTGTCAGCGAAGAATGATCAGTTATTGTTTTGATTGGTTGAAAATAAATTCATATAAAAGTGCGTGGAAGTCTTCTTTATGATCTATACAACATCTAACACGGTGTTTGATTGATTTTCCTGATATCCGAGTCTTTACCCGCCCTTTAAATCACGTACAACTGGACAATCTTGAATATTAATTATAGTGACAGAACAATCAGTCTTACCGGTATTTGATTGTTGTTTTTTTATCTTTGTTCGTGATGTCTGGATGTGCTTGTCTAACAAGTGTTTTGATGGGTTGAACATGGCGTTTGACAGGCTGGATATTAATGTCTGTACTAAGGTACATAGTGTATACACCGTACACCTGTCAAGAATAAAGTTTAAGCAGCGCTCTTCTTTGCTGTGATTGGCGCCGTTCATTACAGGTACCACAAAATGGGGGTACATATGTCATAGATTGAGTGATTACGTTTTCCAGATTCCCTGATTTTGAATATTTTAATTGCTTGACGTTTTGTTTTAGCGATGTTTAAGTTTGTTGTTGATTTTGAAATAAATTCTCAACCGCAGTTCACACTAAATGTACTTTTGTGATTTTGAATATTTATAATCCTACATAAACCAAGTCATCAAGTACATGTCAGTAAAAGAAACGCAAATTGTTTTGTGTTATAGACTTAGTGTACATGTTTAGGAAAATGAAAATTGATCCTCAAGTATGTTCATGGCATTTTTTAAGTATATTAATTTTCCAAACTACTGAAAAACATTTCGTAAAACAAAACATAGGGATTCCACATCCCAAACCTCCTCTAACATTTACCGGAATTTAAAAAAATCTCAAATCTCCCGTGTTCGGGGGGGGGGGGGAATGTTAGAGACAACCACACAGGACACTCTATGTCCCAGTGATTCATATTTCTTCGTTTAAAAAATGCACATTTTATCGCTGCGACTCATGGCTTTGAACCCGGGTTTAAACGTAACAAGGAGTAGGATCTTCACGGTCCAATATGAAGGTGTAATCTGCAGAAGGGTGGTGTCCGCAAATATGGGATCGCCCCACGGTTTGAACGTAACTAGGATCATTACGGTCCAATAGGGATGTGTAATCTAAAGAAAGGGGATGCCCCCAAACATGGTTCGATCCACGGTTCGGACGTAACAAGGTGTAGGATCATTACAGTCCAATATTGAGGTGTAATCTGAAGAAGCGGAATGCCCCCCCCCCCCCAAATAATTAAAACCAATCACGACCTACCTATATAGTTTCTGCTTTTAGCCATCTCTGTGATGTTTATATTACACGCCCCTTTCGGGATTTTTGTCACGAAGTTATGACCATATTTGGTAAGATGTGATCTTGTGAAAATTCCTGAAACGACTTGGCAGGATTTACCATTCCCGCCACAGACACCACATTGGTCTAGTTTGGTCTTCGATCCCAGGATGCCATCACAGCCCACTGCCTGAAAAATATAAATATTCATAAGTTTATGTCGTGTTCTAACAATCTAATTACGAGGGCTGGCTGAAAAGTTTTAAACCTATCTGTGAAAGACCTGTACAAAGTAGATAGTTTCAGTTTATTTTTATGCATAGTCCCCTTTGATGTGAACACACTTTTGTCAACGATGTTGCAAAGCCTGGATGCCGACCAGGGAGAAATTTACTTCAACTACCCTAAAAAAAAGGTCGTTAGGAAAATGATGACCGACAAGTTCCTTTTTCATTTCTGGAAACAGGTAGAAGTCTGACGGGGCCAGGATCTACTTATCTGACACGCTTCTGATCCGCAAGTCAAGAGCAGAAACTTTTGTCACAACACTGGCAAATTAAGCGAATTATTCAAATAAAATTACCATATGTTAGTCCCGAAATTACCTTGTTTGTGCCGAGTGACGTTACCCACCCCCCTTTAAATATTTGAGATTTCTGTGTCAGTTTAGTAGTTTCTAAATGGCCTAGGAGAGGTGTTAAACCCCATCCCATTCCTGTGGCCTGTGCAATATTTCAGATTGCTGTGTTCTTTGATTAGTTTAAAAATGTCCCAGATAAGCGCCAAATCCCCTATTACATTCCTGTGCTATATTTTAATACTTAAGGTTAGAATATTTCAGATAGTTGTGTTGGTGCGTTTTATTCGTTAACTCAATGAAACCTGTAGTTGAATGAGTTACCACGCATGTTATTTGAATAATTTAGAGCCTGGAGCAGCTGATATAGGGCAAGTTAATGTCAATAGTTTTAAATGTAAATAAACAGCGGAATGTTGTATAACACTGCTGTTGCCCGTCAGTTAATTCCATGTCTGATATACAGGTACACATATACTACACGGGATTTAAAGATGCATTAATCAGCAACATATTTACATGTCGGTAAAACGCTACACCCACGCCTAGATGTCCCTGGTCCCAGAGAGAGAGCGAGAGCGAGAGAGAGAGTAAAACGGTATACCCACCCCAAGAGAGAGAGAGAGAGAGAGAGAGAGAGAGAGGGGGGGGGTGACCTCTACCCCAACTGAAACGTGACAGTCCTGGTAGTCGAGCGATCAGGCACTGTGCATAGTTCCTCGGGTGGGGCGGAAGATGAAACCCCGTCAGTGTACCTATTGGCGTGCACGTAAACGAACACTTGGAAGACGAGTAAACGTAAACTCCACTGATCTTAACCACAGAAATGAAACTAACCGTATGTTAGCCACATAATGACCAAGTATTGCGCTGACGAGGCATTAAACATCAGTTCATTATAGGGATTGATACAATATGTATATGAATATTCATTGCTGAAGTCATGTAGACAAGATCGGGAAGTCACCGAGGGCTTCCGACTGTGTCAGCGGTTATGTTTAACAATTACAATGCGGAGGCGAGGAAAGGGTTGGGGTTTTACGTCTCATCAACATATTGTCTCGGTAATCACTATTTCTATGGTTACGTATGCAAAGCGACAGGACGAATATTGCCTATATTTGTGTTATGAATTCCAACTGCCAAGAGATATTTTCCGTATCATGCGAACGACCAGACACATTTTCCACGCCACTCCTCACAGGTGGGAACCTTTGTAGAAAGGATTCTTCTTGACCCAGTGTCCTTACCATATTAGTCGTTCGGATGGGACGAAAAACTGAGACCCCGTGTGCACATTGGCGTCAACGTAACAGAATCCTTGGCAGTTGGAATTCGATATAAGAAAAGGTCGTAGCAAAATTTCCCTCATAACACACTGTATCGCGTATGCCCGGCTTCATTAGCAAAATGTCCCTTATAGCACACTGTATCGCGTATGCCCGGCTTCATTAGCCCAGGCGGAGCAAAACAGTAGAACGATAAACCCCATTTCAACCATTTCATAACCACACAGCCACCGCGTTCCAGCAATGTGTGGGAGTTTGGACGTACCTGTTTGAAAGTGGTGAGGGTTTCTGTTGACGTATCTTTAACGAGAACGTGCAATATTGACAGTGGGTCTATAGTCATGAAGGTGTCAACACTATGTAAATAATTACATATACGTTCAAGACATGGTAATTGCATAGCAGTTACTTAACTCTTACCCAATCACACCACAATTAGGTTTTCATTGTGACGTCAATCAAACATTCAAACATGGCGGATGTCAACACCTACTTACAAGACAAGATCGCGAGCGCGACAGCAAAATGGCTATGGAAGCACGAATAGCGGCGACAAATTATCTTAAACTCACAAATACACCAGTTTGTGTCGATAATCAAGAATAGAAAATGAATTCTTCGTATGGACATGTCAACACCTACTTACAAGACAAGATGGCCGAGACCAATCATAACAGCGGTTCAGGGAGTACTACGACAAAATGGCTACGAAAGCACGATTTATGGTGACAAATAATTCTAAGCTCAAATATACGCTGCACTTTTTTATTGTGTCGATAATGTAATGTGGCGGATGAATTCTTCGTATGGACATGTCAAAAACTACAAGATGGCCGAGACCAGCCATAACAATGTTTCAGGGAGTACTACGACAAAATGACTACGGAAGCACGAATTATTGTGGCGACAAATAATTCTAAGCTCAAATATACGCTGCACTCTTACTTACCTAATCCAACCACAACCCACTTTTTTTTGTGTCGATAATCAAATATGGCGGATGAATTCTTCGTATGGACATGTCAAAGGCTACAAGATGGCCGAGTCCAAAACTACGGTTCCGGGAGTACTAAACGAACATGGCTACGGAAGCACGAATTGCGGCGACAAATCGTTTTAAACCTCAAAATACACCAAATCGTTTTAACTATTAGACAGTGCAACTGAACTGGTAAACAAAATATCGAAAGATACAAAGTAATGGAATGGGGTTTTACGTTCTACTTTTCTGCATCAACCTGGCTTATAAAGGTGGTAATATATACGTCATGCAGTGTGTTGTCTACGATATCACCTTAGGTGGAAGTGGACGTAAAACTCTAGAAACGAACGAATGAACGAATACAATGTGCTTTGAAGGATATTATCCCTGGACAGTGGCGTTTATGCTATTCTTCGCGGGACTCTTAACTGCCAAGGAAAGAGAGGGAGAGAGAGAGAGAGAGAGAGATTTCAATAAATCGCTTGCGCGTAGGGGTCTTTAGCAGTGGGTGGAAACCGTGGGAACCGAGAAACCCACAAGGCTGGAAAGACGACCCTACGCTTTGTCACGTACAAGCGGGGCATCGTAACCACGCCAGTTGACTCAATGACAGACCTTATGATCAAACGCGCACTCGTTAACCATTCGGTGACCGAACTCCCTAACTGTTAATGGTTCTATCAGGTGCATGCCAACCCAACGTGTACGCCCAACTAGGCGCATTTCGTCGCTAGATTCTAACTCCTACAGAAGAGGACGAAGGAAACCGGGAAGGAAAAATCCCGTCGAACTTTCTCAGCTAACATCGGAAACGAAACCAGACCAGTGGCATATTCACCGAGCCACCCAACCCCCTAAACGTGTGGACTATCCCAACGATTAGAGGTTTTTTCCTTCCTAGACTCGCCGTCCTGAAACATTGATGAAGAAAGCAAGGAGGGCAAATCACAAGGTACATTCTTGAACAGAATTGGAATCGAAACCGAATCGCCACCTCCCAGACTGAGTCAGTAAATTCTCTATACATATAAACCTAAACGGAGGAAAGAAAACTTTATAAGATATTATCAATTTACTATAACAAAATAAACTCCCTTTGCATCATTATATAATCATAAACTTTACTTCAGGGTGACGTTTGACAGTTATAAATTATATTTCAATGTATTGTGTTTTGTTATCTTATCAATAAATAAAAGTAAACTAGATATTGGTACATGGGGGTTATAAACATATTTCTACAAACATAATCGCTTAATTTACCGGGTTTCTCATTGTCAGTGGTGCAGAGCGGAGGGCCTTACAAGGACGACTGTCTAGTCCTTCGGATGAGACAAAAAACCGAAGTCCCGGTGCACATTGGCGTGCACGCAAAAGATCCCTTGGCAGTTGGAATTCGATATAAGAGTAGGTCATAGTGCCGCTGCCCGGGGAAAATTTCCATCAACAGTAGGACGTTAAACCCCATTTCATTTCATTTCATTTACCGGAATGTATCTCGGTTCTATCCTTGAACATCGATATCAAGATAGTATTTAGCCTAAATTTTGTGTAATCCCGTGGTGCTCCTTATCTTGTTCTACTCTTCTTGGTGACAGTTTGGAAACAACCGCTAATGAATCCAACTTTACTCGCCGTTCATGACGGCAACGTAACTTGTTACCGGAATCAACCTTTAATGACCGAAACTTCACGAAGGCCGTTGGCAATAACGGGGTTGTTGACCAGAATCATTCAGTTGATGATACAAGCATGAAATTTGGTGTGAATGTAGACATGAGGTCAAGCTTTGATAAAAAAAAAAGTACTAGCCATCAAAAATTCCAAAATGGCCGCCAGTGCGTAGAAAAATAAGCATAGAGTATAAAAAGCGCTTGTTTATTTTACATAATTGAATTATTGTCTTTCTCAGCTAACTCCTTGATACACATGCCAATTTAAAGCACAAAGAAAAATAATTCTGCACCCCCGGCATCAAGAAGCATAAAATATCGTCCAGAAATATGATTTCTCTTTGCTTAAAATCAGGTTTCACGGGAGTTATTTTGAAAAAAGAATTGGAGCAAATTTGGTAGAGGAATGAAATAATGTGAATGTTGCCCCTGAAAAGGACTGCTAATGTCAAGGACCGGAGAAAGCTAACGGGATGTCATTCTTCCATACTTTTACTGGTTATGATGATGTGTCATTTTTCAATGACAAAGGGAAAAAGCCAGCATGACAGACTTGAAATGTATTCATCGAGGCTTAACCACAGCCTATCAGAAGTTGAGGACCCTGATCTACAAGTTCTTGAGAAGTTTGTAGTTCTCATGTATGACCGGTCGAGTACGACTTTCTCA